ACGCTATCGCTGGACCTAATCATCGCAAATACAATCAGTGAATGACACAAATCATTGGTTAGTGAAGTGTATTACATGTTTGTGTGCGAAGAATGGATCAAATCAAGTGATAATCAATGGTATAATTGACTGCTTGTGTTGTTTGTGTCGTTTAAACGCAAAACACATACAAAAACGTAAAGCGCTTTGAATTTCAAATCAGTTCACAAACGGTTTCATTGAATAGCGATAGAGATGTGAGCGGTCTCTGCGTTCAGCCAATCGTTGTTGAGATTTAAATGGTTTTTAAAGTTTGCGTCAATTTATTGTTAAAATTGTCCAAAACTTACGTCCAATGCATTCATGGGTTGAGAAAACACTTGTCTATTGAAAACTACATTATGTCTGACTATAGGAGTGATCAGTTGTATAGTAAAAGGCATTTCAATACTAAACTTACAATACAAATGAGTTCACAACTCATTCAAACATTTGAATTAATATTTCTATCAACAAATGATTAGATTTATGTCTTAAGTGTTAAAAAAAACTTTTAATCAATGAAAATGTGGTAAAAATAAAGCAATAATGCACTCAAGGGTTGGAAAAGTGCTGACTTTGCGCGACGTTTGTATTGAATGAATGTTTTGCGCGTTTGAGCCGTGGATTGGAGGGAAAGGCAGTGTCAGTGAAGCTGACGCGTCGACCCCTAGTGTTGTTAGACGGCTATTGGTTGGCATCAATAGTGTTGTGTTTGGAGTGAATGGAGAGTAGACTCTACTGTAGAGTCAATACTAGAGTTCTCATCGCATCTCGAGTTGTGTTGCGTTGAGTGCTGTTGTGTTTGCATTGAATGAGTGGTTGTATTGCCAGTGAGTGTATCGACAAAATGGCGAGCAATCAGATGATTGGTAGCGATAGTCCGCGGCGTTGCAAAAGGGCCCGAACCGACCCCACGGACACCGCCCGACCCCCGCACTCACCGCCCGACCAACGCCTGTGCGCCGAGCCGTCGGACGGACACCGAATGGCCGACCGATTGGACAGAATGGGTGTGTATTCCGTAGTGTTTGTGTCCTATACTAGACATGCATTGCTTGTATTGGTGTTGTGTTTGACGTTTTGGTTATGCATTGCATTGATTGCCACGCATTTGACATTCACTGCCTCTACACTGCCTTCACTGCACAGCCATTGCCTCACAAACCCCTATCCCTAACCATCCCTACCATCCCATCCACCGGTCCCTCACTTCACACTCTTATCTAATTTGCCACGCATTTGACATTCACTGCCTCTACACTGCCTTCACTGCACAGCCATTGCCTCACAAACCCCTATCCCTAACCATCCCTACCATCCCATCCACCGGTCCCTCACTTCACACTCTTATCTAATAAATTAATTGCCATTTAATACACATTTTAAGTCTATTTTGCGCTGAATTTTATATTATTTTATCGCTATTTATATGCGATTAACGTAACAATCGATACGAAAAACACTTGAGTTTTAAATACAATAACAAGTCTAATGTTGTTTACGTATGGGTTGTCACCACTCCTGCGGTCATTCCGCAGACCAATTGTGCGGACAATTAGCCAAACATTTGAATTTAGGCTTAATTTATGTATGAATTCGTGTTGTATTGCATTTAATTAGCACTAACTTAGCGTTTAATGCCATTAAATATAACAATTGAATTGACACTTGTTTTTGCCGGCAATGGTTTTCAATGGTTTTTCTCGTTTAGTCTCGTCTTCAAGCGATGCCGAGATAATGAGTGATTCGGGCTTTGATTCCGGTTTCCAAGAGTTTGTGGCAAACATTGATCCGAAAGAAAGCGATTCGACGAATGAT